AGAGTGAGTGCTCTTGCAGCTTTCTGACTCTGCAGCAGAGCTCCAGAAGAGACGGCCTGCATAGCAAGGACCGGAGGCAGACTAGAGAAATGGGCTGGCTCGGCCCACCCTGCATCTGTGCGTAGGGTTCAAGGAGTCGGGCTCAGATCTCCCTGCACAGGATAAGAAGCTGCGTGAGAGACTTCCAGTACACCATCGAGGTTCCTGGAATACTGCTGATGGGAAACCAGTGGACTGCAATTCACAGGAAAGGTCAGTACTGTACGTATCCCCACAGGAGCACCCAAGGAACTCAAAAACCTCCAGTAAGAACAATTTCTAAGCTTGTATCATGAAAACAAAGGGAACTCTATTGCCAAAAAAAAAAAAAAAAAGAAAGAAAAAGAAAAATTCCCCAAGGCAGGGTAGGAACTATGAAATAGAGGCAAAAATGTCAAATGACCCACTGCTTTCTTGCCCTGTGCCCCTTTCTGCAGACCCGTTTGTGTCTCTAGCTACCAGAAGGGGCATGATTAATCTATTGATCCCTCTGCCGTGAGCCTTACTCGTTTAATACGACACAAACATCTCTCTCACATATACAACTTTCTGTTTCCAGGATTCCTTAGTCCTAAATCTTCAGGGTCCATTGGTTGTTAATATTGAGCTTTATGAGCTTAGACCATCAGACCAACCCGGACTGATGCAGGAAATGCAGGTGGTTTCACACCACACGGACCTTACACACTCACTGCCAAGCAGACAACGAGCACTTAGCAATGACTAACTATGAAGGAAAGGGAAATAGAAAATGAGAATTTAGTTACCCTTTAAGTATTAGCACAACTGAACTTATGTCAAACCCCCCAACACAAACGAAAACGAAGGTCTCCGGGCCAAGCGCATGGCCGTAGCAGTGTGCGCAGTTCCCCGGGCTGCATGTCTTTCTGCCCCTCTGTACCAGCCCATGGCAGGGCCCACGCGTGTGCTCAGTGCAGCACCTCAAGGCTGGGTGCTCACCGTCTTCTAAGACACCAGGGTTAATCAGACAGCATGCAGGACAGTCCCTACGGAAAGGTCACTTGTGTCCTCCATCTGGATGCGTTATCCTGAGTAGGAGAGAAGGAAGTGAGTTGGAGATAGCGGCTTGGAACCCACACAGAGCTCTGAACATGCCTGGAGTATAGCACGTTTCTGATCCACCGGTGAGGAGGGGAGAAACTCCGAGAGACCCACTGCAGGGAAAGGGGCCAGGTCACTGTCGCAGGGTGGCCTGAGCGTGTGCAGCACTGCGGGAAACCTGTGTCCTTCCTAGTCACAATGCAGCCATACCCAACCAAGGAGGGCCCAGCAAGCAGGACCAAGTCCGAGACTGCAGACTGCCCCTGCCCCTGTGGGGCCCCGACTGGGTGCTAGATAGCACAGAGGAGACGGAGGGAGATGATCATTCATAGGAGGCCTCTCCTGGGCCGAAAAGAGAATGGAGAGGTTTTTTTTTTTTTTTTTCTATAGGGCGCGTGCACTCATCAGACAGAGAGACAGAGGGACAGAAAGTGAGAAATCACCCCCCCGGGGGGATGGCCACATCACAATCCCTTCTCCTCCATTCTCCTCTCGGGATCTTGGGCACGCACGCACACGCGCCCAGCGTGAGTTTAAGCTACCGGGTCCAGGACTCGAACTGCGGTCGACTACGTGGGAGTCCAGCGACATAGCCATTACGCTAACTGCTGGTCCCAAGAATGGAACAAGGTGAATTCTTAGCATGGCTGGCAGCTGAGAGCCTCCTTTGCTCAGTCTCTTCACCTCCATCCAGGTCCTGGGTGTACCTGCCATGGCTCACCAAGTGCCAAGGTCCGGGGATGGAGGAGAACGCCCCAGGTGCCAAACAGGAGCAGCGACAGGAGCTGCAGGAAGGGGGTTGGCGTGCCTCCGTGCCAGTTCTGGGCCTCAATGGCACAGGGAGAAGTCCCCGTGACCACAGTGCCATGCATGCGGCTTCTTGGAACCAAAGCGTGAGCCGGTGGGGAGTGTGGAAGTGCCTGCAAAAATTCAGTTCCACCAGGAGGTAGTACACGCTCTCTGTGCAAGGCATCGTGGGCCTTCTCCGAGGAGTCAGAGGTGGGCAGGACGTGGTCTTCACGCTTTAGGGCCTGAAGACTCAAATACTTGAGAAGGGTCCAGCAGGTGGCGAAGGCGCTGGCTCCCACGTGGACGACTGTGGTTTGAGTCCTGGGCCTGGCGGCTTGACGATCATGCTGGGCTCGTGTGCGTGCACCCCCATTCATAGGAGGAGAATGAAGGAGAAGGTATTGTGGCGTGCCCATCCGCTCTTGGGGGTGATTTTTCACTTTCCCTCTCACTGTCTCTGTCTCTCTCAGGCGCATGCACGTGCCCTGTGGCAAAAGCCTTAAAAAAAGTTGGGAAAACAGACAAATAACTTCTAAGTGGCAGGATACTGGTGATGGTTATTTACATGCGACAGGAAGAGAAGACGGAGGATTGTGGCCTTGGGGACCCAGGTCCCATCACTCAGCCCCTGAGCCTGCAGCGGGGAGCCCGTCTTAGACATGTTTAGCTGAAGATCCTGACACCCGGGGCAGCCATTCAAGGGTGGAGCCCAGAAGGTGGCTGCGAATGTAAGGCAGGGCTTAAAGGCAACGCGGAGACGCCAAGGAGGTAGCTGGGAGTTGGGGGGACAGCACCGGGAAGGACGTGGGGGGGATGCTGCCCTCCCGGAGCGGGGCGGTCTGGAATGGGCGAGGCCCCAGACGCCGTGGCCACCCTGCGCTGCTCTGGCAGAACCCCGGGACTGGGCCATTTACCACCAACAGCTTCTGGAGCTCACGGTTCCGGAGGGAAGTCCGAGGTGGGGGGGCCACGTCTGGTGGGGCCCTTCTTGCTGCATGCCCCGGGGTGGACGTGGAGGGACCAGAGGGCCCAGGGAGCAGGCCGAGCTCCTGGAACAAATGCACTGGGATGCACGTTCACCCGGAGCCCTGGACCTGATCCCCGTTTACCAGGCCCCTCCCAGCGCTGGTGCACTGGGGTTACGGTCCCCACACGTGAACTTTGGGGACCCATTCAGACCTTAGCACAGAGGTGAAACCGCATCTCTTTGCAGCAGGGGTGTTGGACCCAGCCCAGCCCCGCGCCCACACCCACACCCCGGCCGTCTCTCCAGGGCAGAGGCCTCTCCAGCCCAGGTGGGGTGAGGGCACTGACATTCGTCCCCCGCAGCAGGAAGCCCGACCTGTGCTCAGCTGGGCCTCGCTCCCCTCCCAGGCAGGGGTCCCGGCACAGCCCCTCGGCTGGCCCACTTGCTGAGAGCCCAGCATCCCACAGCCCAGGCCTCCGCGGCCCGGGTTGTGCAGCCCCGAATCCTCAGGACCGGTCAGTGCGGGCCTGGAGGAAACCCGGCCGTCAGAACCCAGAGCCCAGGCCTGAGCCAGCCTGCCACCGCCGGCCCGGGTCCTGGTAGGCAGTGTGGCATCTGCTTCTGTTCACGATTTCAGCAGCACTTGTCTCTCGGGTCCCTCCCGACTCCACCTTCTGTTAGATCCCCTCGCACTCCGGCTTTCCTCGCTCCTCACAGGGATGGTGTGCCCTCCTCTCTGGCTGCCCCTGTCTTCTCTGCAGCTCTAACCCTGACAGCCCAGCTCTTCTCACCGTCCACGCTTACCATCCGGGTATCACAATCTTCTCCCCAGCACTGCCCACCGTCCCCTAGTGCTCTGAAAGCACATTCCTGAGGCTGGGCTCCGTGTCACTTACAGAGGAAGCACAGGACTCTGACCCCAAGCACCTTCCGTGGCCAACTCACCACTGTGGACACAGGCGGACGGGGAGCCACTCGGCTCCGGGAAGTCATCCCGGATGGGCAGACCCCAGGCAGGCAATCGGGACCACTCTGTCTGTCCACACCCTCCCTGTTACCATCAAAGCCCTGCACCCTCTCACCAATCTCCCGACCTACTTCTGAACTCAGTTTCTGTCTAGCGTGTCTATCTGTGTATCGAATGACATGACTATGGGACATTCCCATGCAGTCACCAATTCTGGGTCTGTTTGTATTCTCGTGGGCTAGTCTTACGTGTTCCGGTACATGGGACATACATGTGCCGACACATGGGCCTAGCCTCGGGTGACCTGAAAGGAAGAGTCATAGTTGAACATTTGCACGTAAATACAGCATACTCACGACGGTGTGGGGGTGTTAGGGTTTTATTAGCGGGGCTGTGATCAGCACTGTGCCAACAGTCGGGGGTTATTTACGGGTCACTGCCGCCGGTCCTTACAGAAGCTCTGTACAAATTCCTCTGCTGGTGCTCCAAGGTGCCGGTGCCTGACAGCCTGCGAGGTGCGCAGCCCCAACGGCGCCCTCTGGAGGCAGTGTCTGAAGGAACTGCGGCCGCGAGAGCCTGACGGCTTACAGGGAGCTATTCTAAAACTTCCTAAGGTCTAGTTTCAAGACTAGTAGGGTGGTGGTGTACTGGCTCTAAACTCGGACTCGCAAGTAGTATGCTAACAAAACCAAATCTTTTATGTACCGCAGTACCGGGGCCATCTTTTGCTGTGCCTTCGTTTCTGAGATCTATGCCATTGCAACACCTGCTCAGTTGTTCCTCAGTTACACGATAACGCTGTGCTCCGAAGGCGAGGGCCAGGACGCCAGCTGGGAAACGGGCACCCAAACAGAGGCCTGCCTTACAGTCTGCAGTCCGCGTTCTCCCGGTTTTGTCCCGAGCGGTATCGTACGCTGACTGGGGAAAGCGGCTCAAAGAGGACCGCCCTGGGAATTCCGGCTTGAGTCAGCCACTCGAGTACACGATCTCAAGGAGCTGAAGGCGCTCGGAAACACTGCCTGGAATCCCGCCTGGAACCCTGCGCGGGACGAGCGGGCATCTTCCGAAAAGCGCGGACGGTGGCACGGGGGCAGGAGGGGCTGGCTTCTGGCACGGGGAGACTCCAGGGGCAAGAACCGCGCCTGGGGAGAGGCTCCAGCCAGCCACGGACCCCGGACCCCGAGTGGCCCCGCCCCGAGTCGGCTCGCGCCACCCTGATCCCCGCCGGGAAGCGCGGGCTCCCAGTCCTCGCGCAAGACTTAAAGCCGGCCGGTTGTGTTCTGGAAACCCACGGCTTTTGCTCGGATGCGCGGAGGAAAGCCGACCTCCGGTCTACACTCTGAGCTGGGCTTGGACTCGGTGAGCTCGGCCGGAAGGTGCCTTCGAAGTGCAGCTGGGCTTGAAGGTAAAGTCGCCCGGGAAGCCGGCGGGCGGGAGCCGCGGAGGCGCAGCCTGGGTCGGCTGTTGGTTCCCTTCCTCTGTTACCCAGGCCCCAGCAGCTCCAGGCTAAGTGATGCGACGCGGCGCATTTTAACCAGACTCGCTCACCCGTAGAACTCCTCCGAGGAGCAGCACCAGCACAAAACCGCAGCGCAGCCGAGTGTACTTAACTCGCGTAGACGGCAGCGGCGCGTGTCCGAGTCGGTGGGTCACTGGACCACCAACTCTGCCTCTTGCTGTACCCCGCGCCCCGCCGATCGCTAAGTGGGGGTGCGCGCCCGCCTGGCGGGACGTCCCAGAGCCGGGACAGTCGGGTCTTTGTCCTGCGCCGGGGAGACCGGCCCTGGGTGCTCGGGGAGGCTGGGAGCTCAGGGGCCGCCCCGC